TTGTGGAAGTCATGGTCTAATACTGCCCCTGGAGCTTGTTGCTCTCACTTATCACAGGTAAAGTCCTGTTAAAATGCAGTTCCTTCAAATTATAACCAATATGTTTTTCCTTTTGTGGGACTATTTGCATCCTGTGTACAAATTGCGCTAGAGGACTTTCTAATCGTATTCTTGCATATGCATATTTTTCTCATGACCGATATTAAAACTGAGTGAAGGTTTAATATCGAAGACATTAATTTTTGTCTCACATTTTATTTATTTGCGGTATCATACTATTCGCAATGTGCTATTTATGACCATGACAGAGTTCAGAAAGATATACTCATGCTGACAACAGGAAATTAGTGTTGTAAGATACTAAAAGTATAAAAAAATTGGTTATAACAACAAAAGTATCTTCTCTGAGAACATTTCATAATGACACATAGGATTTTTTATTGCTTAAGGCGTATCATGTTCTTGATAATGTGTCTTTGTTGTCATTGTATCTGTGCAACCTTCCTCCTGGGGAATTACTTTCACTGATCTGTCATCCTTTTCTTGTAGATCCTTCAAATTTTCAAAACTTTTGATTAGCGATTATGTTAAAGTAATTTTCCTCATACCACTTTCAGATATCTGGTTATGTCTTGTTGCCTGCAAAACCACAATATAGCCTTCTATGAATTGTGCTAATGCAGGTCCCTTTGTGTGTCTCTAGTTGATGATAACCTTTTTCAACTTGGATCATTTGCTTTTGGTGCACTTCTAAGCAGTAATAATAGCTAGATAGATACAGAGGTTGACTGCACATTTTATGATAATTGATCTGCCTTTTGAAAAAGTTCAGGTAATAAATCCTGATGCTTCTTGCTTGGACTTACTTCATATCATTCTGTTTAGAAATTTTTAGTTCAAAATGAGGATTGTTGCTTTCGTGGTTTCCCACTTCATTTTGTGGCGTCATATCTTCCTTTGTTTCTTGATTCAAGTCCTACTGCATCTATCACTTAATCCATCCTGCAGAAGGTATAGGGCGGTATTTTACTCGAGTATGACCATAAACTTACATCAACAATCTTGTGGTCACTACTTACTTTAATCCCTTTCTGTTAGCTTTCAGAAACACCAGATTGGGAATTTATGAGAGAAAATCAGGATAAAATTACATTCTTGTGTGGCATGGATGATCACTGGGGTCCATTAGTAATGTTTGAAGAGGTTAAAAAAAAAAGGACTCTCACTCTCTCTCTCTCTCTCTCTCTCTCTTTAACTCTCTATTTTGGTTTGGGAGCATCAAAACCCTCTATTCCTAGAAGGGCATAAAAGTTATTTCTGAATTATTGGAGCACCTCAGGTTTTGTGTTTGTGTGAGAGATATGTAGATAATGATATAATTGCTAGTGTTAATTATTTATTTATTTTTATAATTTTAGGGGGAGGGGCAATCTAACAATAGCATTCAAATCATCAAATGGCTTCTATGAGATTGGCAATGCAATAACTTATGTTAATGATAATGGTTCACTGTCCACAGTGATGATAGTCATTAATTTTCTCTAAGACAAAAGGGGAATCTCATATCATTATTATTACCATCATCTCTCATTATCAAAGAAAACAATCACTTGGTTGGGTTGATAGATTAATAAAGAAGGAAAAAGGAGAAAGAATGACAGACTATGACATATGAGGTTGATCCTATATACATTAGAAAGACACAAAAAACCACAGTGTTGCTTAGAGATCTTGCAGTCATACTGATGTAAAGATGGTCGATCTGATAAAGGGAAATAATTTGGAAAGGAGGCTGCGGGTGAAGAGGGGATTATTGCACTGATCATCACGATCATGATGTTTGTACTTTTGATATTAAGCTTGTCCAGTTTTGACCAAATGAGTTTCATTTTTAACAGTTTTTCCTTTTTTACTAGACATTGTTTATCTTGGGTGCCCAGACGCATCTTTAATTAAGTTTTTTTTGGCTCTCAGATCTCCAAGCAGGCCTCAGGCATTGCTCTATCAATTGAAAGGAAGGGCCACACTCATGGTACCAAACTCTTGACCTTATCCTAATGTACTCGTATCACATGCAAATCGGACACAGGTTTGTAAGTTATTCATATATAATTCTCCAGATACAGGAATAACTTACAAAACATACAACTTAATCATGTCCATAGGGATAAGTCTGACAAATGTACCTGACTTTAGACAAGATTGAACAGAAGTGCCTCCCACTGGGTATAGCAAACCATCTACCTGACTCAGAACCCTCACATCTGAGGATAGATGCCTCACCATGAACAAGACAATGGGCTCAAGCTCACCTGTGAGAGTTAAAATTTTGATGAAAGTAGCATACAACAATGCAATTTTTTTGTTTTTAATGTTGTTTGTGTACTAGGATTACAACAAATCCGGATAACAGATTCCTGCATCTTTATAAAATGGTGGAGTATTATAGGTTCACATGTATAGCATCTTGCATAAGTTTGTCTATGAAAGTTGGAACCACTGCTGCTATTACTACAATGGTTATTTGGTGATTAACACACAAAATGGAGCAGCATTAAAATGTAATTAAAAGTATGGTCTAACTTGATGTGTCAAAGAACTAAGAGTCGTATATAGCTTACAGATCCCATTACAAGTTCAACATGATTCTTTTATATCAATTATTAGTCATTCAGTTTGCTGCAGTTTATGATGCTCAACCACTGCAATGCAATCTAAGCCCAGAAAGCAACAAGTATGATCTTACTGGCATCAACTTTCTAGTTTGTTCTTTATCAAGTTAGAAACATGGCCATCTGTTATCCTTACTGCTAGTTTGATCATGATCAAGTAGAAGGAAATGAGTTAATCCAAAGAGGATTTGCATGCAGCATTTGTATCTAGCTTGACGATGGTAACCGCTCTGTTGATTTTAGATAGTGGTTTTAAGGAATGAGATGAGCAACAAAACTAGGTTGCTGTCTGAAGCAGAAATCAGATTTATCCCACTGATAGTATTACCAATTTTTTAACAGAAAAAACCAAATATTGGCAGCAGAATCACAAGATTACTTGTGCTCGCTGATCAGCTTGTGTGGAATTAGCTTTGTATTTTGCCCCGTGAACCTTGGTATCCGGACCTGTCCCCTACACCTTAGCAAAGTCCAACGTAATGCTTATGTAGAAGCCCATCATAATGGAAAAAAAAATGTGAACACATTAAATTAAATGAAGAATGATTCATCAATAATATTGCACGTGAAATGAATGTTTATAATACGAGAGCATTTCACTTATAATTTTTTTTATAATAATCATATAATTATTTAATTAAAATAAGAATTTATGTAAAGATTCATCACTTATAAGTTTTATATAAAATTTTAATTTAATAAAATTTATATAATTTTTAAATTATATAAAATCAATTGTACTATAATAATTATAAGCAAGGCCTACCAATATTTTTTTTGTTTTCAAAAAATAAAATTGTGAGTGTTAAGCCATTAGGCCCTGAAAACAGCTTTTGGACGATACTTTGCATCAGGTATAACTGTATTCTATTTTACTTAAAAGAAAAATTAAGAGTAGGGGAAGCGAGATTTGAAATGACAGAGATAAAATTTATAGATTATAAATTATCTAAGCCCTGCCACTCTTGAGGTAACTCTATCCAATGATTTTTAGAACCAGTGCAGATTTTTTCTTCGTAGTGGGAGAAAATTACCCTTCACCTTTCCTGTAATGGCAAAATACTTGTAACCAAGCATAAAATGAAGAACATCATCTAAAACTAACAAAAGAAAAGTATGTTTCCAACACACCCTCATGCCTCATGGCCGAAGTGTCATGGGCCATAAAACCTTTCAAGGCATGTCCAACAGTCCAAGTCCAATCGGCCATTGATTACATCAAAGCATTAAAGCTCCTTTTGTTTTTTCAACCTTTTGCCCAACTCAAGTCAAAAGCTCTAACCAGCCTAAACGAAAATGCTCATGCATGGTTCTCTCTCTCTCTCTCTCTCTCTCTCTCTCTCTCTCTCTCTCTCTCTTCCATTTTCCACATTAAAGATGACCCTCATACGTTTTTTGTTTTTTAATCCTTAGTAGTTAATGTAAACTTTTAGCTATAGTTTTAATGTATATGTTTGAACCCACAATTTGAAGAATTGATTTAAGTACAAATATCAACTTAAAAGTCCAAGTTCAATATTGAATGGGTTTTTAATTTTTAATTTACAATTGGTGATATTTAATAATTTTTAATTAAGAAAATCAAATGGACTATTCAGAAAAGTCCGATCCCTAGATATTATTGCTGTCATGTGATCAGTTTCTGTAATTAAAAATGTATCTTGTGTATTTCAATGCCATTAATCTTGCCAATCAATACATTAACAATCATCTTTCTCAATGGACTAATCAATCCTTTATTTTGTATAATTTAACTTGAAAAATGTTAATCAATGTCTAATGATACTGGATTAGACCACGATTAAGATGATATGTAAGGGAAAAAAAAGTAAAATAATTCACTAAATGTAAAATTAAAGATCTATCTTTTCTGTAACGACACAATACTCTATTTCGTTGAATTGGGCAAAAGCCCATCATGGCAATAAACTTCAAACATTAATTAATGAGAGGCATTTAAGAACTTCGATTTTTCCAATAAAAACCATTTAATGATCCTAATGCATGGAAAACCCTTTTTTTATATACAAAAACTAAATCAATTTGGAAGGTTGTGGTCAAATTGTCATAGTACTAAAAGTCACAAAGCAGTCACTCTATCACCCACGGCCACGGGGCCCCCGCTCACATGCAGGATTTATAGGCAACTTTCCCATGCTCAGTCAGTTGCCTCATCTCAATACCAAGCCAAGGCATCCCTTTTAGACAATCTGTTCTTCACCTCTCTTTATCTTTTTTTTTTTTTCTATCTTCAACTCTAAAGCAAACTCAAAAAACTTCTCATTTTCTTTCTTCCAATTTAACTCTGTTGCAAACAATCTGTTAACAATGTCATGCAACAGAAAAAAGCTGATCCTGAACACAGTTTCAGTCAGCTTAGGCTGCAGCAGCTGCAAGAAACCCAAGCTAACTAGTTTGTTCAACCCAAAGCCGAAACCGAAACCGAAACCGAAACCAAAATCTCATTCTTACAAGGCTCATTCTCTTTACAATTACTCTTCATCAAGCTCCTCCAAGAAAACAACCCATTATGCATTCTCAGAATACGAAACTGCCTCCTCTTTTTCCCCAAGCACAGATACTCCTCAGTACTGGGACATGGACACCAAGTGTTCAATGGCGACCGTACGAGGGTTTGGCCGTGTAGGAGGAGAAAGCCTGGCGGTGGAGAAAGACTCTGATGACCCTTATTTGGATTTCAGGCACTCCATGTTGCAAATGATATTGGAGAAAGAGATATACTCCAAAGATGATTTAAAGGAGCTTCTCAACTGTTTCTTGCAGCTGAATTCGCCTTATCACCATGGCATTATTGTTAGAGCTTTCACAGAGATCTGGAACGGGGTGTTCTCCGTCAAGCCTGGTGGTGCTTCCCCGAAGATGCATTTTGGGTACAAGCCACGTGACTTCTAGGTGCTACTGCTGCCACGTTTTCTTTAGGGTTTAGTTTCGAATACAATCCTATGGGTTAATAAAATATTAGTAAATCCTGACAGTTGACTTATAAACACTTGTTAAGGTAGTATTTAAAGAAATATTTTCTCTTCTTCATGATTAAAGGAAAATATTTCTTTAAATAAAAACTTTTCAAGAAGTGTGTTTGTGTTACTCCGTCGCTAATGTAAACAGTAGAATTAGAATGTGTAAAAGACCCATCAAAATTTAGTAGTATATCATATGGGTCATGTGTTGAAGTTGTGTTTTGAACTTTGGAAATGGAAATGGCAAAATTCATAGAAAAAAGCTGTATCTTCTTTTTGTTTCATTTTCTTTCACCTTTGGGCAATTACACCAGCCGACAAGTTTACCCCACAAAATGGTTTTGTTTTAACGGTAAAAGTCGGGATTAAATCTTGGAGATTATGTTGGATGATTGGGATTTGCCCTGAGGTGATCTTAGATATGCTTTCACATGTTAATTTCCCAGATCAATTATTTTTTGGTCGGGCATAACCTTATATTAAAAAAATAAAAAATAAAATTCGAATCTCCTCTTTAATATTTTTTTTAAATTATTTTGATCATTAAATCAAATAACCCAAAATTTTTTAAATTATTTTGATCACTAAATTAAATAACCCAAAATTGTTAAAATCAATAATGACAATTAGACCAAGTAAACAGAAAAGATTGCTGGTAGGGGCCTGGTTGGAGAAGAGATCATCGTCATCCAGTTATCCTTGTTTGGAATAATACGTGGCAAGGTAAAGTAAACTATAGTTGACAGAGGCCAAGGCAAATGGGTTGGGTGGTAGCCTGATTTACTGTTTGTTTGTGGGTTGCGGGATAGTGGATGGCAGGGGGTAGTCAACCTCAAAATCCTGGCCCTAATTTTGTATGCGGATGCGGTCTTGTGTGGGAAAAGATAGGTACGCATTGGGATTTGGACAGTAATAATTAGAGAAGAGTGTTCTCCTCTAGTAGTAAGAAACACAGCTGCTTCGTCTTTTTACATTTCCCAACACAGTAATCCCTCGTAAAAATTAAAGTTCCCACTCGACTTTTATGCGTTTGGCCTATGGGCTTCGATCTCTCTCTCTCTCTCTCTCATGTTGACAACTTGCACTAACTTCAATTTCTCGAAGATTTTTCTAGGTTCAAGTTCCAGATTTTGGCTACTGTGAAATGGTTGGATTGAAAGCAAGTTATCTTATTTTTGATGAGTTGAAAAGCAGAAATTAGGATTTGCACCCAACCCTTAAGGAAGCCATGAGTTCAATGTTGAAGAAGATCTTGTTGTATGATTGTATTCCTTCATTTACTCATGCAATTAAAACATGATATTTAAAAGCTTAGAGTAGTAGATTGAAATATCATTACTAGTTATTTCATGATCAAGTTCAAATTCACGACAAACACTTGAAAAGTAGAAAGAGCTCTTTTAAATGGATTCCCTTAACTGGTCAAAATATTTATCTTTGACTTCAATAACATTAATTGAGTTAAATGAAAAACTGACATGTTGCTGTGTGATCAAATGGACTGCAGAAAAATACCAACCAAAATTGAAATTTTATTGAACAAATTAAACTGTTCCTTCAAAATATTAATTACAAATATAGTAATATATTGGTAAAGTAGATTTATAATTTTCCTGCTCAATTTTTGAAAAAAAAAATTATTTGATGGGCCTTAATGGATCATACGTTGGATTTTAAGGAATTCAAAACTAAAATCTTTAAAGCTTCAATAGAGAAATATACTATTATATGACAGTAGATTAATGGAGCGCAGATATAATTACGCTGCCCCCATTTCCATCTTTTTTCTGTCATTTCAATAACTATTTCATTAATGTAGTTGTTTGATAAGTAAAGGACTTAAATATGGTTCGCTTTCAAGGGTTAGTCAAATGCATCCACGTTCATTAATTTGGGAATTCTCATGCTGCTGCAAAGTGGTAACACAGGGGACCTTCCATTGCAAACAAACCATCAGACCTAAGAATCCCCCATTATGATTCACATTTTGTGACAATTCCAAACCAATATTGCAAGCTTGCCACTCTAGCCTGATCTTCATCGTCATTAAATTCTACCAACAGTCTGTTCATAAGCTACTAAATTTTTAGCTTCAGTTATATATAGTTTTGTCTCCTCCCACTTTCAAAACAACAAAATCATTCCTATTTGTCTGAGTCTGAATCCAGGATTAAGCTGAAGTAGATTTGTAAATAAAATGGCTTCAAATTTCATGAGTTGGAGATATCATAAATTTCACCTCCTTTCATAACAATTTGAACCAAAGACTTTCCTCCTGTGACAGTTCATCAGTTACTTTTGATGCAGGCCTTTCCCATAGCCATTCTTTTGTTGCAAATTCTTACAACTTACAAATCAGACACTAAATAGAAATCAAATATCATAAAATCAGAAATTGGTTTTATTAAGTAGACAAATTGACATATCAATCTAATCTCTTGGCAACTTTCTGTTATAGTGGGGGACTTCCTTAACTTTGGCCAAAAAAAAATCCAGGCTAACATGGTCACCCTGCCTCGGTTGAAACTGAAAACTAACAAATATGGACACTTGCAGAAAAAAAATTACAGTTGATTTTAAGGCTTCGTTTGTTTCATGAAAAATGATTTTCAAAATTTTTTTTCACATTTTTAAGTATTTGTTTAGCAGAAAATTGACTGCTCAACGGAAAATAACTTTCTGATCAATAAAAAATAAAGTCATTTTTCTGAAAATTATCTTATAGATGTGAAAAGAGAAAAACATTCTATGAAAAAAAACTTTTGATCATAATTTTACTTATAAATAATATTATATAAATAAATAATATACTATTAATATAATATATTAATAATATGATTAATTAATAATATTATAATATATTAATAAATAATATAAAGAATAATAACTGGTTTTATTTTAAGAATTTTTTATACTAATATAACATTTTAATCTTAAATACTGTTATTAAAATATAATTATTTTTTAATATTAATAATTTTAATAATAAATAATTTCAATATATTTAATAATAAATCATTTTTAATATTTTAATAGTTATATTAATATTATTTGAAAAAAATAGATCTTTCAAAAAACAATCAAACAACGAAAAATATTTTTCATTAACTCATCTAAATAATAAAAAAAATTTTAATTTTAAAAATATAAATATTTTTCAAAAATAATTTTCTGTAAAATAAAGGAAGCCTAAAAGTAATCAAAAACATGTAAAATGCCTAAAAATCTAATTAAGTAGTACCAGCTTGTAAAGTAGAAATCTATGGAAGTTTACTTGATATAGTGGTAGAAAATGGGCTTAGAAGAAATGGTGGTAGATGGTTGGGTAACATTTATAATTGTCTTTGTACATATTTTCAGATTTTATTGTTCAAACAGTCTAAATCATGCATAAATACTATTAAGTGTAAACATCGAACATATATTCAGTGCATATTCAGTATTTATTATGAAAATAAAACTGTGCATTAAAATGTCACTTGTGCAGTTGTGCTATAAATGTGTGACATAATTAACTCATTCTACTTTGTTTACCGTATATAAAAAAGTATATGCGAGAAGAATCCAATTGGCAACTGCTATAATTTTGTTGGAATAGGATATGATACAAGAAACTTAGTGAAATTGCTAACAATCTATGATAAAATATTAAAATTTTAATTTTAATAATTAAAATTTAAATCGTGATGATTTTAAATATAGAAGAAAGTTTTAAAAAGTCAAAATTAAAAATGTGATCTTATAAGAATTAAATTGACCAATCAATTGCAAAAAATAATAATGGAAAATGTTAACTAGCGTCCAATGACACCATTAAGGTAATATAAGAAACGAAAAAGACTTGTATAAAGTTTTTTACGTAAATTTTATAAAATTCTTTACTAAAATGATTCAATAAAAATTAAAATAAAAAATCAAAATTACTGATTTAATAAATTTTAATAAAAAAATCAATAATATGTAAAAAATTTATTAAAAATATTTACATAAAAATATATAAAATTTTATTAATTTTTTTCAAAATTTGTATAACTTCATCTACGTAACAGTTTTACTTTTTAATTTTAATTTTTATTAAATTACTTTTAATAAAAAACTTCACGAATTTAAAATTTCATCTAAAATCTTTTTCACGAGAAATTGTACGTGCTAAAATTCATCTTCAAGATAACATTAATATGCTAACAAAATAAATAAAAAATAAGTTATGATAACGGATTTCTATGGCAAAACTTTTCTAAGATGCTTATTTATTCATCCATGTATATTTCCTTGCTTCAAAATTCAAATGGCAAAAGCTTTTCCTTTTTCAATTGGTCGCATTACCAGAGTGATTTTTCGTTAGGATTTTTTTTTTTTGACCAATGGAAAGCACTGGGGATTTAGGGATCAACGGAAACCCAATTCTCAAAATTGTTGACTTTGATTGTAAGTAGGGAACAGTAGTTAAGATGTCCTGTGCAATGACAATGATGGTTGCTTCTATCTCTTTCCCTTTTTTCTCAGAATCTCATTACTATTTCATAAATGAGTTGCCTGATCAATAAAAGGACTTCAATGTGGTTGGCTTTCAAATGTTTGTCAAAATCCAAATATCATCAATCTCAGAATCTTTGGGGCTAGTGGAAACACCAAGTAGCCTTCATCATGAGCTAGACCCAGACCTGATAAATCTCTTTCAGTCTCTCTGATCGAGAGACTTTTGAGAATAGCAAGCAATCCAGTACTAGTCCAGAACTTTTTAAAGCTTTTGTTTTGCTAACAGAAGAAAGTTTTTGATAATTAAAATGCTGATCACAAGTTCAAAACAAGGCACTGCTTTACTAGTTTGAGATGTTCTTCAATGTAGAAAAATATCAAAGGATGAGTAGACATAATAGCCATCTCTATTTAGCAAAATTTTAACACCTTCCCTCATAGTGGGGAACAACT